TTTATATTTATATTTTATATATATTTGCCAACATTTAAAGTGAGAAAGTATCTTTTCCTCAATTCTTTCTCAAAACAAAGAACTGTGGATTTAAACAAAACAAACCCCCCCAAACAATCCCTCTCCTTCTCAAACCCCCATGAATTATACTTATGGCCCAACCGCTAAAGTCTAGTGATGCTTTTGAAAACCCCATTTCACATCCTCCTCTTTTCAAATGGTTACCCCAGACAGAATGGAGAGTAAGCAAGAGAAAAACCAAAAATAAAAGTAGTATATTTAAATATTACCCAGTATATAACAGACTGTACTTGTATCAGTGAAGAATCTCCAAGAAAATAAAGTGTAAGTCGTACAAATGTAGCTCTGTTGACAAGTATAGCCAGTATTTCCTCGTAATTATTAAGATAATTTGAAAGGATGTGAACACAAACAGGCTACATGAATGCAGTATATTAAAATTCCCCCTGTAGCACATTACAATCAATAAAAAGAAAATAAAATCTGAATAATACTAGAGGTAGCAGCTGTTTGTATTTTCTGTTATTCTGAGTATCTCTGGAGTCCAACCCTTCGAACATTGCTCCCCTGATGAAAGGCTTGTGTGCGATCAGCTGACATACAGCAGACTGGTAAGCTCGATGTCTGCAATAGTGTTTGAAGTGTATTTCCCACTACAATGGAAGTAGTACTTGTAAAGAAGTGCGTTTGCGACCTGTATTAAATCACAGCTCAAAAAGCTATGGCTGTTTGCCGTTTTACAAGCCACTTAAAAAAAATAAAAAAAATCCACAATGTGTTTAAGTAAGCTATGCAGTTCCACAACATATAAATAGGGTGAGTTTCAAGAGTTCCATATAAGCTCTAAAATATACGCTAGCTGAATATTAATGGAGTAACAATAACATTAATCATAGTAATGCCTTAGTTCTGGTATCACAAGAACTCATTTCCTTCATATGGGATGATTCTTGGAGGATGTCAGTGGGACCTCTTCTATGTCTGGTAGAAGTGATGGTAGTGGTGGTGGTGCTCGTGGTGGTGGTGGTGTTCATGTCTTTGTATCATTTGTCCAACTTGACCTTCATATAAAATGACTGTGGGCAGGTCTCTCACGTGTTCCTTTTCCACAACTGTCCCTGGAGACTGGAAGGTTTTGCACATTTGGTGATTCTCCTTTGCCCTCTGCTTATGCTTCTTGTGAACCTGCTGGGATTGCAAGGGGAGGTAAGGAAGATTCTGGCCTACCCGTGTGCTTGGGGAAGCCATCGCCATGGGTGCCCCTTGAAAAGGTTTATTTCTAACTGCCCTTCCAGGATGCACAGGGGCAACATTTTTGCCCTGGGCCTTGGGAGACCTCCCAAAGTGCTTGTTTGAGTCCTGGTTTCGGAGCCTCTGTTGGATTTCTGCAATCTTGGCATACGAACTTTCAGCCAGATTGATGTGGCTTGGATCCACCACTTGAGATTTCCTATGGTGAACGTGGAAGGTTTCAGGTTCATGAGAACGGGATCTAGTCTGATTCGCAACTCTGCTTGGTGGGTCATGTTTTTGAGCTGCTGGAGGAGATCCTAGGAAATAACAAGCTGAGTTACTCATCTAGTATTTCAAAGTTCTAATTAGTAGCATGCAGTTGGCAGGGATAGCATTATTGGCAGAGTGATTTTTTCCTAAGGAAGTGAATGCAATTATAGCTGTCTAGTTTAATTAAATTTAATAATTCTGACTAGTACATAATATACACACAAATATGCATACATATCTATTATATAAGAGTGAGTGAGAGAGACTCTGTGTGTGTGTGTGTGTGTGTTCGTAAAAGTCCTTCTCTTGGTCATCGTCACTCTGAAATTCACCAATATAACTGTGAGTGGAATACACAGCACCTTGGCAAGGACAGGGAAAGGGAGGAAATCCAAAACCCTTTAATTTGGAGACAGAAGCCAAACTTCCAGGTATGAACCCACACTCTCCTATTTTTGGGTCAGCAGTGAGCACAAAGCATGTGCTGGTCTCATCTTGGGAACAAGCTCCAGCATCCAAAAATCAGTCCTCACCTCACCCATAGACTAAACTTAATAATTTAGATGTAAAGATTGTTCTCCTAGGCTCACCTCCAAGTTTAGCTACACAAACAAGCACTTCAGAGCAGGCTCGCAGCACGTTAGCCACTCCGCTGTGATACCACCTTCATCAGTAACTATCCTGCAGTATTCATACAGTCCTATCCTTTCCAGTAAGTCACTACAGACAAATCACACAGCTTCACAGTTCACTGCCCCTGATGTAGAACATGCAACTGAAGAAAGGTGAAAAGGTTGCCACAAAAATTACCTGGCCCAAACTTTGATGTGTAGTTTTCTATTCCTGCAAGATCCAAATAGTGGTTTCTCCTTTCAATGTTCTCATCAACACAATGACGATAGCACCCACTGTGCTCTGGATTGTTCTCGCTCTGGTGAAAAAAAAATACAATTCAGCAGAACTTCCCGAAAGTCCTTCCTTGCACCATCTGCAAACCAACAACTAATGGCCCTTTTGAAGTGACAGGAGTTGCTCACAAAGAAACAACAAACGCTTGAAATTCTGGATGACCGGATTTGCTCAGTCGATAGGGCTGAACTGACTGTTCCTTCCCCTTACATAAATCGACCCCGATGTTGCAAAGCAAAAGACGCTTTCAAATTGCATCACATATGCAGAAACAAATAAAAATACCCCTAGGGTTTATTACATTCTGTCTTAGGGCCAAACCATTCAACCGATTCTCCAATTTGAACATGCCAAAGAAAACCTGCCATTCGATTCATGATTGTTTCCACTGCTGTCAGGAAGAAACATTCTCATGTCAGAGAAATATTCATGTGTATCTGCTTCAGAGGTACAGGCAGCAGCACAGGTGGAGTAACTAGAGAAGAGAAGGTGTTGGTAGGACACCCAGAGCTAACCACTGCTTTCCAAAATACAATTAATAAGGTCAGATCAGCTGCTGGCTTCAGAGTCTTGACTCCTTTTCCTGCTCAGCTTTGCAATTTTATTTATAGCAGAACTATTTCCTGAGAATGAGTATCTGAAATACCATTCATTTATGAGGCAGAAGAAAAATCAGGCAGAGGTTTACAGTATTGTAGCCCATAATGCCGAACAATTTAATTCAGCAATTGAAATGGATGTCTGCAGATATGAACAGTATTTTCAATATAACAAACAGGATAAGCAGAAAACTCTTAAGTCACTGCCTGTCATTCAGTCTCCAAGACCACAAGATAGACTTTGCTCTTTCTCTGTGTGACTGCACTTACATCAACCTAAGACCAGAATTTGGCTTTGTTTCCTATACTAAATGTGGGCTCTGTAGTGTATGGTGCCCAGTACTCCACTTTCAGTCTATTAACACATCTCCAGGCTTCCAGAGGCTGCTGATCCCACTGAGCCTCAGCACAGACTGTTTCTCTGGTGCAGCGTAGGGAATGTTCAGGGACGTTACAGAACCAAGTCCCTCGTGTCTCTGCCAGACACAGGTCTACAATTTCTTTGATGGAAGTCGCTAGACTTGACCTACCTGGAAGATCATTTTTGCTCTACTTTGATAGAGGCAGAGTCTCCTGAATGAAGAAGAGTCTGCCTGGGAAGCAGGTAAGCTCTAAAGACTCAGAGTCAGCTTTGAACTCCAGAAGTGACATGGGGTACTGTCAAAAAAGAGGAACTGTCCAGATACACTCCATTTTTTTGGATTCACAGCTGAGTCAGTACCTTTCCTGCCTCAGACACACCTTTACAGGTTGTTACACTTTAGCAGGTCAACATAAAAGATCTCTGGGGCTAGAACCTGGCTAAGTGAAGATGCCAGGCAGGAATTGGCTATGGAAACTTTTGAGACTTTCATACATGTGCTGAAGACAATGCAGTTAACTCAGAAAAAACATCATTGGGTTTGATCCAACACAATTAAGCAACACTGCATCCAGCACTGCCTGTTGAAAACAGGGATCTTGGTTTTTGTTACTGTACTATATTCCATCTCTCATCGAGATGGTGAAGAAAAACTACTCCAGCACTGCCGCAGCCCTGTACTCTAACAGCTTTCTTACATGTGAGATGAAGTTCAACAATGTTCATGCAAATATACACAGTGAAGCAATTATACACTGATAAGAGATGTGCTCCACTGTCAGGGAGAACTGTAAGTACAAACTGCAGCGTCTGGCATCCACAAAGCTCCTACACACAGGTAGGAAGATCGAGGCATGCATCAACCACGCATCAAGCACAGCATGTAAAAATATACAGTGTTGTTACTGGGTTTTGGTTTAGTTTGGTTTGGTTTTTAATCAAAAAGGCATCTGCTTAAGTGTTTTTGGAATGTATGAAAGCCCTTTCAAAAATTCCCATGCTGAGGTGTGTCATCCTGATGGTAATAAGTACACAGGGATATAGCAGGTAAAGGGAACAGAGCACAGACAGAGCATAGGGTAGTAAAATGCAAGGGCATTTCCTGAAAGCTAGGCTCACTGGTAACACAGAGTTGAGCCAGTCAGGGAGAAATCACTTAAGCAGGAAAGAGAGAGGCAGAATGTGTATCTGTGGGTAAAAGGAAGGTGTTTTAGAGCCTGATGTGCATCATATTTTCCCTGTTGCACTAAACAAAATACATACTCAGATGGCATGAAGATATCCAATCCACAGAGTTGCCTGCCAGTGCTCTTCCACCATCCATTTTGCACCACACAAGCCAGGTGAGGTAGCTATCAACTGAGGTAATTCATCTTGATACTTTCATTAGCCCTACAGGTGAAAACGCCTGCTTGTAGCTTTTAGCAGATGAAAAATCTAACCCATCTATCTCCCACGTCAGGATAAAAAAAAAGTATCCATTTTATCTTGAATATTCATCACATCTTGTCTAGAATGCCTAAGTGACAGAATTTGTGAAATGTGTGCACTTCTCCTAAGTCCCCATTGCTGCTTTCAAAGCAGGAGCCTCCGCATTAATATCACGAGCTACTGCTGGGCCTCAGGGAGCGTTCCTGAGGGTCTGTGAGCTGACCAGAGCACACAAACACACTGCAGCACACACAGCATCAACAGGACACCCTCTGTCCTGTCCACATTTACCCAGATGCAATAAAACCTGTCAGACGCTGACAGCTGTGTGATGCTGATCAGATCTGTGCTGCCTAGGAAGCCTCCAACCAAAGGGATGAGGAGGAGAAATGCAGCACAGCCAAGCTTCGATGACTGTGGATTTAAATGGAAATGGCTGCTCTTCATAAAACCACGACATTTGCAAAACCAAGACTTTAAGGTGAATGGAGACTTCAAACCAAAGGGGCATTTTTGGAATACATTAACAAACAAAAATTGTCCATATATTTCACACAGGGCAAACCTTTCCTAGTGGGCAGAGGGAATCTGACCAGCACATCTAAGCCAGCAAGCAACACCACGGAGCATTCTTTATCTCACAGAAGGTTTTGTACAGAGTTGGTAACAGAAGATTAGAAGTCATTTTAGACTTCTCTTAATATGAAATTTGATCATTCTGGGATTTATTCACTGAGATAACTCACTAGCATTTTAACTCTATCCAAAAAAGGGAGGCACAGTTTTGGTGTCACTTTTAATAAGACTGAATGCTCCTTCTCGTGGTAAATCAATTATGTATTTGGACAATAAACCCAAGGGAAAGCCGAAAGTGGTTTTTTTTTAATTTGCAGCTGAAGAAACAAATGTGACTAATGATTCAACATAATTATTGCAGCATTTCAGCAAACATGCTCTTCTGCCTTAGTGTGAAACATAAAATCCTAAACGAGATCAAATCTATACACCAAGATGACCAGTTTAGAGCAACTGATCTACATTAAAATGCATCAAAATTACCTGGTTTTGATTTGTGTCTCTATCCATTAAAATACAAAATTCAGAAAAGGAACAGCACACCTACATGTGACTGAGAGAACAACATTTTTTTTAGCTGTAAAAAAAATTAATACTTGAAAAATACATTGCAGATGTTCATCACGCACTCTGAAGTTCAGTGTGGGCAATACCTATCAGGGAGGCAGAATTCATGGTAGCAGGGTAGATACATGCGATTACACTTTTGCAGAGGAAAAAGCCCTGTTCTGGACTGGCATCCAAAACGGTATCATACATTCTGTTAGGGGAGAACTAAACCCCCTTTTTCCATCTGATCTGCAGACAGCTGCAAGTGTACCTGCAGCTGTTCATAAAAGAAACCACAGTACTTGTGCTTTATTATTGGATGTATTCTGAGTCACACGGGCTGCACTCCACTGAAAGACAACAGACAGGAATTTTTTCAAGTGGTGAACTGTATTCTGAAACTTATAAAAAAAAAGAAATTAAATTATCCCAATTTTCCTGCAAGATTATATTGGTCTTAAGCAAGTAGGCTAATTCCTACATGGTTATCACCTACTTTGGAAGGGAGAAGTTGGCCTAAAGCTGATGTGGCAGCAAGGAAGTACGGTTTCTGGCAGCAGAGAGAACCACTGTGAGGTAAAAAAGAGGTGACTTGACTTCTCCTGCCAAGTGTACAAACACACTTCATATGTGGAGTTGAGCCACCCCACAGTTGCCACCTGAGCAGAACAGAGCAGGTAGCGCACTGGAAGCTCTTGCTCATTGCTCACTCTGCAGAACATGGCCTGTGTAGACCCTGTGCTGCAAAGCTGATCCTCTGCTGCTCTGCTAGGAGCTCCCTTTGTCCCTCCTCCTGCCAGGTGCTGTACCCAGGGCCAGCCTTTGGGAGGAGGGGTGGTACGGAGAAGCAGGTCTGGCTATAACCTGGTAAATAAGATCAAGTTAAACTTGGAGCTAACTGAGCTGACCAGTGAAAAAGTAGGGCAGGAAGGAGGACAGAGAAAGGCAGGAGCTGGCCTCTATGAATATGGAAAGATTTTAGGACACTTTTAGCCAAATGGCTGTGCCATAAACATCACTAATAGGCACAGTACTTGCAGATGGCATCTAAAAAGGCGCTGCAAGAGCCAACAGGAGAAGAAAATTTGAGTAATGAGCGCTACAGATTTGCTTTTTTGTTTTAATATACAAAGTATCTACCCACGGAATCTGCTGTCAGTTCCACAATGAAAAGTCCTATAAAACCTCTATTTTAACATATTCTTTTAAAATAAAGCAAGCAAGCAAGAAATCAATGGTTGAGGTTTTCTCAGAGACACCCAGTGCCTGTCGGGAGCCAGGGCTCTTTCCCCTTACCTGAGAGAAGCCCGCTGCTTCTTCTCAGAGCTTCTTACTTCTTCATTAGCTTTGCTTTCAGCTCTATGCCTGCCACTCTGCAAATCTGCCAACAGAAGAAAGTACATAATTCTCACATTACTGTCCTTCTACTCAAGTACTACTCTAAATACTTTAAAGTATTTTAATTTAGTAGTATTTTATCTACTGAAGAAATTCCACTGAAACAACTATTATTAATATGAATATAGGGTGAATAAGCCATCAAGAGTATAAGCCATATTATAATGGCAGACTCTGCCAGTACAGAAAAATGTGCAATTTTTATGCACAGATCCATAAAGGTTACTTATGTTTAATTATTTATTCTTATTCAGCAGCAGTGAAAACTTTGCACTTGCAAAACACGTTTTATAGCACCACACCTGTGTTCACACAAAGTGAGCACTGTAATAGCAGAGTTAAATTGGTACAAGACAAAAAAAGCTTTAAATCTGCCTTGCAGTACACAACGACAATTACACAACATAGGGGTTACTGCTGCTGCCAAGAGGAAACAATCAATCAGGAGAGGGAACCTTAATTTGCTTAAGAGACATTGACAGGAGGGTAGGCACCCGAGATTTTAAAACAGGTTCATGGGGTTTAAAATACCCACATAATTATTTACCTATAAGTATTTGTATTAGTAAAATATGAAGATGGGTTTTTAAGGGATTTTTTAAAGTTTTTCTTATTTTTTCTGATGGCCGATTGCACATCCTTACCGGTTTGATTTAACAAGATACTCTTTTTCTTCTGGCTGCCATCTGGTGCCACAGTAAGTTTCACTCGCAGAGTTTTGCTGGAACTAGGAGAATGGTTTACTGATGCATCTACTACCTCATAGATGGTATGAAGCAAGCTGGTAATATCCTACAGTGGGATTGAAACACAAAACGATACGCTATGTGAAAATGGTATGAAACCCACAGCTTTGATACTTAGAACTGTTCAGACTTGGGACTATTAAATGCTGAAATCACCCCAGAAGTCACTGAATTTAAAAGAGCTGAACTTGCACAGAACCTTACAAGAAAGGTACACAGACACAAAGGGAATGATTCAAACAGGTCCATATGCTTCTTCATCAGATGATGTAAGATTTCTGAAATGGGGAAAACCAGATCAAAACAATAATAAAAGCACAAGGCATTCAGGTTTCCTAAGCTGTGAATCAGCAAAATTGTGTTCTGCCTTTTCTTTAGTTTCAACAGAACTCGGGGATAACCACTCATATTGCACTAAAAATTGAGTTCACATGACCAAAACAAATACAGCAACTGAAGAAAACCTTGGACATCACAGTCTTACTGCTTCTTGGGCGTTTTTTCTTGAGGTAGTTAAATGGTTGATTATATAGAGGAAAACCAGTAACAGAAGTGGCCAAACTGTAAACCTCCTGGTTGGAAACAAATGACATCTGAATGTCACTCTACCATATGCATATCAGGGTCTAGCTTATTTTGTAAAACTCAACCAAGTTCTAAACTTAGAATTTTGAACAGCAGTGATTATCCACTCAGGCCTATTACAGAACATTCTTCACACATCTCTTTGAAGGCAATGGGACATGAAAAAATGCTTGCATGTCTGGCTATATCAGAAAGAACACTAGGCAATTTTAATATTGCAGTAGTTTATAACAGTAGTTTCAAACGGGAGAAGCACTCTTTAGGAGTTGGTGATGCACAGAGGTCTCGCAGGTTGGTCTAATCCAGCCAGGTTCAAATAGGGTGCTGCCTAAAATTGCCAGGATGAAAAGAAGATCTCTTGGCTCACTGCTTTTCCCCAAAGGGATTTCACCCAAATTGATCTTGGGCACCAATCTAAGGCCAAAGCACACCAGTCACTGCAAACTATAAAGATCCCAGTCAATGTACACTTGAGAATTTCCCCACGCTAGTCTTCCTGTTCCTTGATCTATCCTAGTATCTAAGCTCTTTCCAGATGCCTGTGAGCACAAAGGAAATATCTAAATCATCCTTTGTTAAGTACAACTGGTTCTGAGGATTAAGAGTCAGGTCTATAAAAATTCAAAACCTCTACCATTTTTCCTTTGCCCGAGGGTCATGCCCATAACAATGGCAGCTCGAAGTTTAGTATGCCCCAATGGATCCCAGTATTTTAGCAGTCGATATACTACACAGACCTCATTATCTAACCAGTTTTAAAGGTCACACAGAAATACTAATTTCTACTCACACAGAACTGAGGGAAATACTGACCTTATGGCCAGGACAAATGATTTTACAGTAGATGAGTTTCCAGCTCAATCAGCAGAATGAAAAACTAAATCCTAGAGGGTCCAGACTTTCTCTTAACACGTGCCCTCTCTAACTTTTCTGCACCCAGTGGAATTTCTCCAGGCATGTGAGTTCAAGACAACATATTCATAAAAAGAGACCAGAATTTGCAGTTTCTCCTTTACATCCCCACTGAAATAAAGTTTTCTACCATTGTCATGAGTCTCTCTATATGCCCTGTAACTACCATGTCAGTAGCTGCTTCCCGTGGTTTGATGAGAACCACCGTCTAAAGCTTGAATGAGGGAGAGACGTTCTGTGACAGGCTGGTGGACACCTCACAGCTCTTTAACACATCACACTTCTCACACTTCCACTCTAATTTGAAACCTGGCCAGACCTCTAAATAGCCACAGCCGTATCTGACAGCCAGCTTGACGGGGGCTGGATTTTCATTTCATCTACGAGAAAAACCCAACCAAGCAAAACCACAAACTGACAGACAAACAAAACATACCTCTTGCTTTATATGTCCTCCATAAGTTATGTTCTAGGACCCTTGTGCTACAGTCCTACACCTCCACAAAACAAACCTCGCCCTTCAGCATCATATTTATTCTTAATGGGGCCTCACGCACTCAGCACTTTGGTGAATGAAGCCTTTCCCATACATCCCTTAACAAGTCCTGGTTAGCCAACATTGGCGCTTTCCACACAAGCCTACTGTCAGGAGGTTATTATCAACTCTTTCACTCACAATAATCTGTCCACTTCCCTTTTTCAGCTATTCTAGATACGATCATCTAGTCTGTGTTCACTTCAATAGGCAATGATGAAGTGGCATGACTCTCACTGTCCTTTTACATTATTTTTTCCAGTGATGAGGTCTAACTGGCATCCAGTCTGTCCCTTCTGATCTGTGAGGGTCTTCCTCGATGCTGATTGACTCAGTGGTGTCAAAAGCCCTTCCAAATGATCCCACGTTAGGCCAGATGCAGCATTTGTGTGACGCATACTTGGCAAGTCAGAAATACGTGCCTGCGTGTATCGCATCACGACACTTCACATCTCTCAGCCAAACAGGCCCAAATTAACCCAAACTGATGTCCAGGCTCCAAGCAGTTTAAGAGGGCACTCAGAGGTATCAGGACACCTTCTGGCCTTACACTCTGCCAGCCGTGCATTTCATTAAATGTTTAATATCCAGCCTCCCCCATGACAACCCCAACTGCTTTGCATTCTGGCACTGAGCAAACGTGGTCGTCAGACTGGATAGATACCAAGATTGCGGTTAGGGATATCTGCAAGTAACCGCTTAATGGTTATGCTGATCTTTTAAATACTGACAACAACATTTTTATTACGGGATTCATTTACTTGTGGTCCTAATTTGGGGTTGGAAATTCTAGCAAACTGGCAGTTCTGATCTGGTGAAACAAGTCTGCTTGGGTCAGTCCCTACTCTGGCATCCCCCAAGGTCCTGGCTGAGGAGGCACCAGTCATGAGGGAGCCTTGACCTGCGGCTGCTTTCCACTGACTGCTGCATCATTACAATGTACAAGTTCCCAAGGCACTGCTCTGGTAGAAATGGTCTTCATCAACGAGTTTTGGACAGTGACTAAAACCCCCTTCCCACAGCTCCTTTTTGGCAGCTAATATGGTAATGGCTTCTTGCCAAATCAGTAGCACTGGACCATTAAAATACATGTTACAAACTTTGTATTTTATAGTTAGGTCTTTTATAGTTATGTCTGTATTTACCCCCAAAAGAATTTTTATCTTCTAGTAGCTTGCCAGGAGACCGAGGCAATTTATGTTCCCCATGAAAGCTGTCCCCCTGAACACTATCTGCATTTAAATTCCTTAAAGAACTGCCTTAAAACCACTGTCACAGCTTTACTTTCCATATACTAGCTTTGCACAGTTCACTGTCCTCAGAAATTTAGCATCAAAAATCAATTTAAAAAGCTAGTTAAATTTTCCTCTCTTCTAGTACACCAACCCGCATGTCGCAGAGACCACCAACCTAAGAATCTCACCAACGCAATAGATTCCAGTTTTTACTGGTCACACGATTTTGCGACTGCTTTGCTTAAGACCACTCAGCACAAAGAGTTTCACCACATATTTCTAAAACTTCCTCCATTTTACCATGAAAAATAAACAATAGGTTTTTCAGTGTTTCTCATTTTTCCAAAAATAGAATTTGCTCCTTTTTTTGTGTTTTGTTTGTTTGTTTTTGGTTTTAAGGTTTTTTTTGTTTTGTTTGTGGCATTTTTTACTGAAATGTACTTTAAAACCATTTTTACTTCAAATTATTGTGGATTTTTAAATTAGTATATAAAATGCACAGAAAGAATTAAGAATTAAAAAAAGAGCTTTCTCTCCATTACTCCTTTATAGCAATTGGATTATATTTAGAGGGGAAGTAGGCTGCATGAATCTTACTGAAGGCTTCTAGTGTGCAGAATTTCTGCTGGGATAGCTGACTTAATCAAGTAAGAAAACTGAAACTATGGTATTTTTCCTCAAAGAGGAAAACAAATGCTTGCTGGGTAGCATCCAAACAGCCAGCACATGCCATAACCAGATTTAGTTGTGTCTTGCTTATTGAACACTACAGTTGGTTTTTCCAGGGCTGAAGGATTTAACAGTGTTAATCTCTATGTTTTTCACATCCTATTTTATCAAGCAGCTAATACAATAAATTATATTAAAAAGAGCAACTTCAATAGATTGCCAGAAATACTTGCATTAGAAAGGCGAAAAAGCAAACAGTTAAGGCCACACATCTATGTTGTGCTCACACACGTATCCACAGAATACTTTACAGGTCTCCAGTAGGAGATTAGCAGGAATTTGAAATGTTCAGAGAAACCAAAGGGTCTGCAAAAAAGAACCAGAGCAAATTACACGGAATTATTCTTCATTCCTTACAAAACTCATGCGACTGAGAAAGTGCCTATTCCAGGTATGAAGATTTACTTCTAAGGAACATCAGTGGTACAAGGATGACTCTAGTTTTGAAGTATTAATGTAGCTTATCATCTCAGGACTAGATAGCAAACTAGAGAGTCTGTAAAGGAAATGAAGAGGGTTTTCCAATGGAATTAAGAGAATGAGAGATTTGCGCACACACAAAAAAACCCCAAAAACCCCAACAACAACAAAAACCCACTGAGTTTTCTAAAACCGAAAGAAAAGATTCAGTTTGATTCTTTGTAACTTGTCTGGGAGAGATGTCATTGGCTCCCCTCAAAACCAAACCCTGTATTTTTCTTAATATTCCTCTCTGGCACAAAGCCACCAAATCCAATGGCTGAAAAGATGGCCCCTCTGACAGTGACAGGCGCTACTCCTCTATCCATGGGTTCCATTGCTGCTCCTGTAGCAGAAGTTAATACAACGTTGACAAACACCATGAAAACCAGCTAATTTCAAGACAAGGGTCAGGGTGATAAGCGGTAGCCCCAGAAAAGCCAGTCTCCTTCCCCAAGTCTAAGATTGGGTGCTGAGTTCTGAAGGCAGAAATTAACTCAAACCTTTTCACTCACTACAGAGGATATGAGCAAAAATGACTAAAAAGAAAAAGAAAAAAGGAAAAGGAAACACAAGAGGAAAAATCGGGTATTTAATGTAAGATGGAAGGAACATTTTTAGCATTAGAAATGTGTGAAGAGAAACATCAGTATCGGTTCATTGCCTTTCCCTCAGAAAATAAGAAGTACAAATGTCTCATTTGTACTTTGTTTGTAGTCTGGTTTCTACATGCAGCAGGATGTTTTTATTGCAACATCCACTTTATTTGATCACATACATTTTTGAATCATTCTTATTTGGAACCTGAAAAGAGCTTCACTTGCTATCGGCTCAACAACTAGTCTAGAAGAAATTCCCGTTTTTGCACTCCTGACAAGCAACTTTCTTGTGTGCTTATTCCTGCGCAGCCACTTACCAAAGAAACACAATTTTCCAAGAAAGAACTGATTGCAAAAAAAAAAAGGCCAGTGTTTATGAAGCATAATTACATTCAGAGAGCTCAATATAAAACCTCATGGATCAAAACACATTAGTCCAATTATCCAAGTTTCAAGTCCGATTACAAATATCCGTGTGAAGATAATTACAGCGCAGCTGTCAGTTTTAAAAAGGCCTGCAGTACATAATGAATTGTCCTCTTACGGCTTACTGAACGAAGGGAAACAGCATTAGCCAAGTTTGGTAATATACACATTAGAGCAGGAAAAGCTATCTCCCGCTACACCAAAAGGACAGAAAAATGGTTGTCTTCTGTGACAGAAAAAGCAGGAGTTTAAAAACATACAGTAATGCTAATTTTATAATTTGCCATCCCAAAAATTACGCTTTCATAATGGGTGTATCTCTTCAAGAAGCATGACTAGATCTGAATTTCTAATTACAAGGACTGCGGAGTAAGTCACACAGACTCTAGGAGGAAATCAAAGCAATATTAAGTTCTGAAGATGTTGTTAAGATCCAGAAGAAATTTCACTGAGATGGAATTTGAATGCTCTTGTGGTGATCTGCCATTGTGTAAAACCCAAGGGAAATTTTATCTAGTAACTGGATCCATATCTTATTTACAATTTTCAAACTTTTTAATGAAAAAAACATTTAGTCCACTTGTAAAACTGCACCCCACCTACATGTCTCTTACAACTTAATTTAACACTGTACATTCCTTTGGAAACTGTCTGGACATGAAGTCTAATTTTTTAAACACAGTAACTTTGGATCCAATGAAATGGATGTGGGTGGACAAAGCACTTCCTTTCCCAGTGTCTCACTTTCCTAAAATGAAAAACAAGAATAATAATGCTGACTTCTTTTTGTAAAGCACCTCACAAGGTCTACAGATAGAAATCTGACTTAAGAAATTTCGTATCTCTGTTAAATCTGCCTATAAATCCAGGAGACATTAAAGTGAAATTTTCAAAGAAGGAGAAAAGGTCCACGCCAAGCTTTTCTCACCAGAACACTGGATCTTTGTTCAGGAAAGCTGACCGGTTCTGAAGGCATTTTCCTCAGCTCATCTTCCTCAGCAATGGCACTGGCACTGGCACAGCTTAGCCCAGCTCAGCTGGCCGCTCTGTCCCTGCACCAGCAATGTGCTTCACATGCTTTTAACTCAAAGCATGTATTCCATTCATTTTAATTGAAACTATTCCCATCTTTAACGTTCACCTTCACTAAGCCCTTTGCCAGCTAAGGAGCAGAGGTCCTTAACAGATGACAGTATCGAGCCCACTCTGTGGACTGCTGGGCTCTCAGGGGCAAATAGAACCTGAAATTTTGTGTCCTATGAAGAGACCGAAATTCCTCTTTTTGTGGCCAAGATTATCTATGAGCTGCTATCAAACAAAGAGCTCTTAAATTGCATCTGGATCCAACAGAAGACACCCAACAAGATGGATTATACATATGGCACTGGAACAGCTTGCAAAAGATCTGTGTAATGCAACTGGGAAATTCTGCAATGGTGCATACTATTTGTTTCTATCTTTGGTCACATGTAAAGAGCTAAAAATTATCAACCAACTTAGTCCCTTGGTTAAAAGAAAAATTTTTGGCACAGGTTCAAGCCTGAATATAGCAACCTCCAGCCCTCAGAGTAGTATAATTTTCAATTCCTGCACAGATTTGGTTTCAGTTAAGCTGCAGTCTGCTCTCGTAGCAGGGCGAGGTAGAATTTGGCTGTAACATATTCTCTAAGTACAGTCAAATTAAGCTCTTTGGTATACCACATAATCACAAATAATTATTGTATACATACTTAAAAGCATATTCTCGTTATGTTCAGCACACGGAACTCCCACTGACATTAATGGGAATTCCATGCCTGAATGTAAAGGACACCCATGTGTGTGGGTTTGGGTTTTGTGGGTTTTTCCCCTGTTCTTTGGGAGTCACGATAATCCTGTAATGAAGACTTAGCCTTGGGTCCCAAAAGATCTGGGTTCAATCTGCTACTACGTTCTTGGGAGACTTCAGGCAAGTTATTTCATTTTTCTGGTCTCTGTTATCCATACATTAACAAATCCAATACTACTTCCCCCCTTCTCCTTGCCCTCTCTCTGTATCTCCTCTTCCCATCTGAAACACTGGAACTCTGGGCTTGGCCCGTAAATTTTCATCTGCTTCTCCTGCATGAGGGGCATAGGTTTCATTTGACTACTCAAAGCACTATCATGGTATGGACAATAAAAAAGTCTAGCGATGATGTTCATATACATGTTAAAAACTGAACAACCACAACATTTAGCAATTTGTTCAGAAATGTTAAAAAAGATTTGTTTCAGTCTTCTAGGAAAAAATTCTGCCCTCATTTGGTGTCTAAGGCCACTATCCTTGCAGTTCTTACCCTACTCCTTTCAACTGAGTTGTCAGTAATTTTCAAAGACACGTGTATAAGAGCCAAGAAAGACAAAACTGTCCATTTTCAGCTGATTATCTGAAGGCGTGGGAGCCAGTAAACACACCTCACAAAGAAATCAATGACAGCACACTGCAATAAATCTCAGTAAAAGACATTGTTCTAGAAGAGGCATCTTTCAATTTGGATAGAAATAGCTCTGAAAAAGGACTGTATTCTAATCTGTACTTCCTCTTATTTGGCTTCTTATTTGCACAGGGAATACAACTTGAAGACACCTTGATAATAAAAAAAATGCAGATGGGTATGCTGTGACAACCATTCACTATGGTCCTCCAGCAACTATGATCCATGTTATTTATACTTGGAGGGAGAAGGCAGAGATCAGCCTAATATTCACGAAAACAACAGAACAGTATAGTTAGTCCTGCTGGAAAGAATGTCAGAAAGCAACCTTGCTATTTGGTTAGCTTAACTCTGAAAAGCAGGATAGAAGCCAGAACAATATACATTTGCAGGGGTTTATTTTGACAATGTGTTTAGTTGTTCAGTTGTTTCAGATACTTTTCCTCCTCAAATGCCAGTACTATTTTTTAAAGGCTAATCCCAGATATTAAACAACAACCAGCTTAAAAAGTGGTACAGTACATCTGAAAACAGCAAACTACCGGGGGGATCGTTTCTAGGAGGGAAGGGTCCATGGAAACTGCTGTTTAAGTTGGCAGGACACCTCTATTTCATAGAAGAAAAAATGTTCCTGTTATAAAACACTTCTCTTGTTAGCAACCGCTGCACACAAAGGGGCAGCTGTACTTTGCTTACCTCGCGTGTGACTCTTCCGTTGTTATCAAAGTCATACAGTGTGAAGGTCCATTCTTGCCTGTTATCTTCCTCTACAGACACATCACATTGCAATTCCTAAGAAACATGCAAAGAGCAGCTGATTACCTGAAGCGAAAAGCCCGTTTGCAGAGGAGACTCTGGAGAAGGAGGCTGCTTGCTTTCTTCCTTCCTCCCTCGCGGGAGGAAGCTTTCAGGAGATGGCCCGGGGAGGCCCCTGTCCACCCCACCGAGGAGTCTCATCACCATCACATGCTAACCCTGCCTCCCTTGGGCTAGACTTCAGGGAACCTGCGAGACACTTTCTACTTCATTGTAGCAAACACAAAAAGGAACAAGAAAACGACTCCCCAAAGCTTTTGAAATATAGTAAGATTTCCCACTAAAAAGTGAGAAAGAAAACTGCTTAACTCAGGAAGATAACAGAAACCAGCTCTCAGAATAAGGCTGCACACCCCGGTGCCAGGAGTAACCCAAAAGGGACACATGGCCCCAGTCCCCACCATAAGCCCTGTCCTTGGCACAGATGTACCCAACAGTTGTCCGAGTTCAGGAAGTGCAGCATCATGCACTGACGCTCCTGAAACAGAGCCTGTCGAGGAGGTGGCAGTAAGAGTGACCTGGGAGTGGAGCCTGCTCCTTATTTTAACTGCGCTGCTGATAGTGAGAGCGTGATCTGTGGAAAGCCTGAAAGAATCAATTTCTTAAAGGAAAAAAAAAATCCCCAACCCAAACCCAAGACTTCAGTGGAGAACAAAGGCTGCACTTCGACTGGCTCCAGTCACCTGGGTGCAAATCGCTCGCTTTCTCTCCAGACCCATGCAATCAGAATTATCCAGAGCCACAATAAGGCAAACCAGAAAAGGTATAGTGCAATTAAAATGAAAGGCACTGTATGCTAGTAAAATAAACAGCTCCAAATAGCTTCAGCGTGACAGAGCTCAGAATACCTGGTTGATCTTCTGACTTGAAACCAATTCCCTACAGCAGTTAAGGGTCCCCTGTCCCCTGCCAAGTTCAAAGCCAGCCTGTGCTTGTGGTAAAAAGCCCGCCTGGAAGCTGACGAGTGCCCCACACTCGACTGTGGAAACGCAGCTTTGTGTTGCATAAACATTACTGGCACCTTTAAAAGCCAAATCACATCCACCTCAGATTTAGACCTCTTGTCTCAACACTTGCGTTTCTGATTCTTTGGTACCTTTGAAACACCTACCAACCTCATGGCTCCAAGCTTACACAGCTGGAAGACTTCCACTTGTAGAACAAGGGAAAAAAATATCAAGACTCTGTTTCTTCCCACATATTAATGCTTCTCTGTCCCACATTGCCTAACATAACATCTTTATATGAGGATGTGCTTGGCTTAGTTAAGAGCAATGGCAACCTTCCTTGCATTAGTCTTGGAGTCTCAGACCAAGCGCTAGCCATTATGGAATGCCAAAAGTGACTTGGGAACAAACACAGACTTGTCGACACGATGGAGTTCCAGCTACTCTGGCACCAACCATGTTGACAGGTGTCCTCCAACCTTCAAATATCAAGGCACTGTCAATGGCAGTTTATCATGCCTTTCCTGTCTGCAAATGTCTGCTATTCAAGGTAGAATATAAAATGTGCCTCAAAAAAGAGTTATCGCCGTGCAAGAAAAGAAGGCAGGAGAAGCCACCTCCCACTAGAATGCACACCAGCACCTAGCAACACCTGAGTCGCCGATGGGAAAGCTGCCTCCTTTTAATCAGCCTTAAAACAGGAAAAAATAAATCATACCAGACTACTAAATCTGCTCTAGAGAAGGAAATGAACGCTGGAGCATGCTGCAAGGTGGCTGTGTGGTCTTTTAAATAACAATTGAGGAATGCAAAGCTCATTATGGTGACAAGCTGACAGCACTGAAAGGGAGAAGTTTGCCACATCTCCTGGAGCACAGAGAGATGAAAATTCGTGCTGTTTCTTGCCGGTACCAGAGTATCTTCCTCCTCACCAAGACAGACAACCCTCTAGCTGGATGACAGCATGTTTCAATACTCATATTTATTAACTCACTCCCTATATAAACAAAACCTGCCAACTACACATGATGTCTGGTGGTTTTATGATGTTTGTAAGTCTACAAGGAAACAGGCCTCATTGCCCTCCAGGATCCTTTTTCCCCTGTCATGTGAGCAGACAATTTCCCTTGTAGCAGGTCAGGGTTATTTCACTTTTGAGGCTCAGAAGACCAATGGCTAAGGAGGCTTTCACAAACACCTTTGAAACTCAGCAGAGTTAACCAAGTGTGCTAATCCATGAAAGTCAACCTACAGATTTGATAACCTGGTAGCTGGTATAATACATTACCAACAAAAGGATCATAGATACAGGGTTAAACTGAATGCCTCTTCTTACTCTACATTTCGGATGCCGCAGAGGGACGATCATCATTTGATGCTCTCCAAACCTGGAAATTAATCTTCCTCATCACCCCATAAGGAGCACCAACAGTAAGACACTGGCTTGTGCCAATTCTGCTCCCTCCCGTACCCATGACAATTGTGGAAGAGATATACATGCAGCCAAGGAGACAATTTGGTCCACGGGTTATTTTTCTACCATAATTATGTCAGTACAGTGAAACTTTAAAATATAGAGGACTTACTTCAAACTTCAGTTGCTTCTTGGAACCTGTGCGTGTGTCACTTTCTTTTTCTGCTTTCTTTTCATCTCCACTGCAAACTCCATCTGTCTTCTCTGGAGGCAAAGCCACTGCGAAAAATATATTTAAGAAAAAACGCTTACAAGGAAATGTCAAAGCAGTCTTATATTTGCAAATCTGTCTTTATATTTAGGGTGAAATTGATTTCAGCAAACTTGCATGAGAAGATCATTATACTTGATTTGCTTTTGTGTTCTCTGCACATTTGGGATAATTTCAGCAGACAATCTACTAACAGCTTTTGGTACACAGCCCCTCCTACAAACATCACTAGAGTCACAGGAGGTTCAAATATAGTATCTTGAGAATATAAATCAGCAGAACTGTTACTGTAAATAAGTTGAACAATTCTGCAAAATATTGAAAGTTTGTAACGTATTGCAAAACCCACTGCAGTCACCAACAGTGAATGAATTAATGAAGCTGAAGTCCTCGTTCTGTTCCAATTTCCCTCTTCAAATACACGCAAGCCTTAGTACCTTCCAAAAATGTAACACTACCTGCCAAAAAGGTTGAGCTGCATTTTTTCCAGTATGTATGAAAAGGTATATTTCACCTCAGTTTCAAGTTAGAACATTTGCACTTGCATGATCCAACAGCACTCATAAAGAGTATCAATATTAACATCTATCAGACTTATAACTTATCGTAACATATATCAGATATATATATATATCTGATATATCTACATATATCAGAAAGACAGATACACTTCTCATGCGGAAGACAAATGCCCAGAAACTTAATAGCTGTGCCTTTGGCTCCTGCAGAGTCTTGCACACGACGAAACCTGTTATCTAAAGAAAATTAATTCTATAGTCATCAGCAGTATGAAAACACACAGATTTTTTAGCTACAAACGTTTTAGCTAGAATTTTTAAATGCATTCACAGACCTCTGCCAACAACGTTATGCCCATACTTCATTATGCATAGCAGTAATCCTATCTACTCCCCAAAAAATAGAAGATATTGTGAGAATGTGGGCCTTAAAGTCAGCACTTTTTCCCTTGCACTGCAGCATTTACATTTACCCAAAGCCTTTATCCTAATGCTACATAAGAATCGTTTCTTGAGGATGCCTTTGTAAGTAAGAACTCATGTAAGTGCCAGTTCAGTGAAGCTGGATTCCTTACAACAAAGGAGACTCAATCCCCTCCAGTTCACGAAGAGTCATTTCAAACTGGGTTTATTCTGGTGTTCAGCACCACTGAGGTGCTTCCCAAGCATTCTCCCAGGAAAGCAAGTCCCTAACAGGCTAGAAATTAAGGTACTTATATTAGCCAATTTCATCATTTTAAAAAGACCAATTAGCTTAAAAATAAAGAAATAGATAAAGAAATAAATATACCCTTACTATAGCTTTATACTCCCAGAAATTCCACAAGCTAAGACTTCACATTACCACACTGCAATACATCACATGTTCTAGTCTTACTTCTTTGTTTAACTTTAACATTATTGTATTACTTTTTCAGGTTTTCAAAACTGTGGTATACTATAAAATATTCTGGATGTGCAATAAAGAAAGGAGGATTGAGATAGAAACCCTGGCCTCTGGAATTCTTCAACTTTCATACTTATTTGCAGTTTTGATGTTATACTAAGATCAGCTTTGCAACACACACAAATAATTTGCATTGCACAAATGCAAGTAGATGTGGAGTTTATTATATTCATACCCACACGCAGATACACTGACTTCTACTCCAAGCCATGTTAGGCTTTCTGACGCCAAACATAAGCTAAGCAGGAAGGTCAGCTGGAGAAAGAAAAAGCTCACATCACTGCAGTTCCTCCCCTTGACTTTTAACCTGGCATTATCGGATAAACAGCGGTTGTTTATTGGGACGTTTTTGTGTAGTGTTTATCATAATGAAGACATATTAAAGTAAATACTACTTACAATACAGAACTTTGAAGTATATCTGAAGAAGGGCCATTTACTTTATACTCGCTTTGTCCATAAGTAAACATAAACAACTCCACATTCCTGGAAGTTCAAAGCTAAGGCCATAAGAAGACTCCCATAAAAAGAAAGCAAACATTCCTGTCTACCTTACTCCAGCCTTGTTGCTTCCTTCCAAACTCACAAAAAAAATGAAAAGGTAACAAGGAAAGTTATATCGACAGTGGTTCTTCCTCGCTATTAAATATGCCCCTAGATTTTCAGTGCCTCGTTTGTACCAGTTGCTCCCATGACCAGTCCTGACTAAGCTGACAGAAACGTTTAGATGAGGAGCTTCTGCAATCCCTCACCATCTGGCTCTAGGGCACGTGAAAGAAATGAAAGCTGGGCTGGTATGACCTCCAGCTTCGCTGGAACGGTGAACAACCAGTTGAAAAAAAAAATTCCATACTTTTAAATGTGTAGAAATACATAATGGCCAAAAGACTTCTACGGCGGTCTTTTATCTGCTAGGGACAGCATCCCAAATGACCCTGGCATGGCAAGAAATGTCAGGCTGAGAGCACCGAGGAGCAGATCCCACACAAGGTGACTACTCCCTGGCCCAATGCTCTTTGTTGTGTTTTTCTGTCACATTGCAGTGTCTTGCAGCAAGGTCTGTCCCTTCCACCACTGCGCTCTTGCACTGCGCTGAAAGCCCCCGGCACATGCAAGGAGCACCAGACATTCCCTGGCCACTGGGTGCTTCACAGAACTGCACCAATGGCACAGAGTTACCTCTTGGCTTCAGGAATAGCCCTGCCACTGGCACATATAAGAACATTTCTGGGTGTACAATTTGTGCGTTCAGATAGCAAGCTTTCATTTTAATGTATAATTTATGTAACAGAGGAAAAAAACGTGCTCTGACAAATTAGTCTTCTCAAAAAACAAGAGTCCAACTATTGGGGAAGGAGGGGATACATCTTGCAGTACACTCCTTGAGAGAGTTTAAATACTGTATGCCAGAAATTATCCTCTTTGAGTTTCGCTGACCTTTGATGTGAAGAACTCATTGGCCTCGCTGCTCTGGGGAATTATCCTTTGAAATCAGTTACTCATTTTGGAGCTCAGATGAAATAGGGAAATCTGGTGATCTCATCCTGATGTCAAGTTTCATTCAGCAAAAAAAATGAAATCTAAATGAGGAAACTTTAAAGGGGAACATGTAGGTATTAAAATAATATTTACAAGTGATCAAATAATGTGCCTGTGCATATATCCTTATGTGCCTTATCCAAAACCAATGAACATTTAAAAATACATACTGTCTTGTCTGAAAAGGGTACATCTTTGGTATCTTGTTTCTATACTTAGTTTTGACTATTGACAAGCGCTCAGTTTCACGAAGAATCCAAACACACGTGGAACCGACATACAAATAAAGCGAGGACGTCTGCCTGGGACAGTCAAACCTGGCAGCCCACAAGCAGAGCTCCCCCAGCGAGCTGCGCGCCAAAGCCCAGCTACATTCACAACCTGAACTTCCTCTCGGCTCCACCCGTGACACTAAACCAGACCAGACAAGATACCTACCTCAAAGGAGCGTGGAGAATTCATACACTTGTGTTTCCAAAGTCTAGGCCAGCAGAAATAAGTCTACATACAATATATGATCTGTGCAAAAATACTGACTTGCCTCCCTGCACAGATAACAAGCCCTGACAAAGAGAACATGCTACAGAGACCAACATGCAGAGAAACTTACCCTTGTTGTGGGAATCCACAACTGGAGGGGGAAAAAAGAAGTATATTTACTGCTTCTCATGGGAATAACCATATGCTCTCAAAAACAATGTTCCCTAACAGAATGTTTCGTGAATTGAAATACTGCATATGTTTTCTTTATGATGTTCTCTTTTCTTGCTCATTATTAATGGTCTTGTATTCACTTCTATAACCTTAAGACACTATAAAAATGCGTCTGGACAATATTTGAAATTGGAAAGACAATAAAGGAAAAATATTAACTTGGAAAAATTGTGAAATACCATTCTTTCATGAAAAACAAACTGACTGGCTTAAGTGTACTAGCAGATGTTTCTCCCTCAGATTGTTAATTACTACCACCCAACTGCTTGTAATTGGGGGGTGGTGGTGAAAGGGAGAGAATGAACACTAGTTTAAAGGTATAAAGACACATCCCTGAAGAATTAAGCCTTTTTTCCAGGGGTTTATTCATTCCTAGGAAAAGAAAGGTAACAATTCCAACTGCTCCTCAGGAACCACCAAAAAAATCCCAGAAATGAGGCAAAACCGATTGCTGTGCTGCATGTATTGAATGCGCACAGCATCCAGAGCTTCAGACAGCCAAAACCGTTCCTCACTGACCACCATCCTGCAGCTGAGAACATGGGGAGGGGAGGAGAAAGAGCCAAAATTCAGCTGCAGTCAGGCCGAAAAGTGACTGTTTAAGCTTCCCCCCTCACCCAGGTGGCCTGCCATTTCACATTTCTCAGAAACTCATCCAAGGAAAGCACCACGTTCCCTACCAAACCATTTTCCTTCCCCAGCAAGGACAGTTTCAGGCTGATGTTCACCTGTACTCAGCATTTTAGTCAGACGGATTAAGAGGATCTTGTGGCCAGAAACAAAAAAGGCTGCAACTCTGATGGATTTTCAGGTCTAAGTCACAGCGACCAAGTCCAAATTTGCAGCGCACTTGGCAGAACTCTTTGGCTGAAGATGAACTACTTCAGGGCCTCTTTGGGATGGCGGCCTTTCCAAAAGGTATGTGATGATCACAGGGCCTCACCTCCAAAAGCAGAACTGTGAGAGAAGCTATGTGATTCCTAAGGGATAAATTTACAACTGGACATTACCAGGGACTACTCTCTACCAGGTCAAGACTGTGCAATTTTTAAGAGAAAGCAGAATAAAGGTAAAATTGGAGAATTGACAAAAATGCCACCTATGAAAGTTATGGCACACACGAAACAAAACCCTTTGAAGTGAAGTATTCTTAGCCTTCCCCTCAAGACAGACAGGCTAGATTCCACAGCAATTCTTTAAAACTGCTACCAGAAATAAAAGGACAGTTATCTGTACATGGGGAAACACAACAAACCACACACTAGAACCTGAGACTTGTGAGGGTGTAGGA